TTCTCATTCACTCAACCCCAGGGGCAGGAGTCCAATTAACACCTCTCCCCTCTCCTGCAGAAAACTGAGAGGAAAAACAGAGTTTGAAACAAATGCCAGTTTAACGGGACATCTTGATCATCTGCAGAGCAATTCAATGGGGGGAGATAGATTTGTTTACCCTGGAGCAGAGAAGGGAAGCTGTTGGTTTCTAATCTTGCAGGAATCCACAGATTTGGGAAGTGTTGGAAGTGCTGGTTTATTTTCTCTCCAAGAAGCCCCACATAGGAGGCTAGAGGACCTTTGAGTGACCCAGTAGAAAACTAAAGTTTCTGTCTTAGGTTTTGTCCTTCAAAATCCGTAGATGCAAAATTCAAAGACCTGGGCGAAACATAATTTGCACACTCAAAAGTGGGGTTTTTTTTAAAGAAACCCCCTTAAATACTCTAAACCCTTCAAAAAAAAAAAAAGTCTAAAATCTGAAATGGAATTTCTTCAGGACTAAAAATATATAGGGAACTATATATTTGTTTTCTGAGGTTTTTGCGAGTATTTGTATGTAGGTCTTTGGTTATTCGGGTTTTCTCCCGCGTCAAATTGGAAGTGTCTTGGCGACGTTTCGACGAAGTCTCATTCGTCATCTTCAGGCTGGTATTTTCAGCTTCGTGCTCCTAGAATCTAGGAGCACGAAGCTGAAAATACCAGCCTGAAGATGACGAATGAGACTTCGTCGAAACGTCACCAAGACACTTCCAATTTGACGCGGGAGAAAACCTGAATAACCAAAGACCTACATACATACATACATACATATATACATACATACACAATGTTCCTCCAGGCCTTCCTGTCCTCTACCATCTTCTGGAGTCCATTTAAGCTCACACCTCCTGCTTCAGTGACTCCATCCAGCCACCTCCTTCTCTGTCGTCCCCTTCTTCTCTTGCCCTCCATCTTTCCCAGCATCAGGCTCTTCTCCAGTGAGTCCTTCCTTCTCATTAGGTGGCCAAAGGACTTGAGTTTCAACTTCAGGATCTGACCTTCCAAAGAGCAGTTGGGGTTAATCTCCTGTAGGACCGACCAGTTTGATTGCCTTGCAGTCCAAGGGACTCGCAGGAGTCTTCTCCAGCACCAGAGTTCAAAGGCCTCAATTCTTTGGCGCTCAGCCTTTCTTATGGTCCAGCTTTCACAGCCATACATTGCAACTGGGAAAACCATGGCCTGGACTATACGCACTTTTGTTGGCAGGGCGATGTCTCTGCTTTTTAGAATGCTGTCTAAATTTGCCATAGCTTTCCTCCCCAGGAGCGTCTTTTAATTTCTTGGCTGCATCTGTGGTGATCTTGGAGCCGAGGAAGATAAATTCCCTGATCAGAGTTTGGTTGACGAACAACACAAGCACGTTGCACGAACCGAATTTCACAACAAAATAGCTAATCTAGAAGCACCTTTGCAAGGCCAGATGAGTCTTCTCAATTCACCTCCAAAAGAGGTCTTATCTTTCGGAGACTGATCGAATGATTAAGATACTAATTTTTACTCCCTCCAAAACTCTTCTATCAAGTTTTGTCCCTAAACCTTCATGATAGCCCCAGCCTTATCCTGTTCCCATTTCTGAGAGATAGCTAGGGGATTCTGGGAGTTGAATTTTGCATATCTTCACGTTGCCAAGTTTGAGATATATACCCTCAGGACCCAGAGAGGACAAAGAAATAGAAGAGGAAAAAAGGCATTGCTTTCATCCAATCATCGTCTCTTTCTTTAAGGAAATATTTCCCTTGAATTTGACAGATTGGCGCTTTTACATATCCGCATTTGGGCCCTCCGGAACGAATTTGCATGTGGTGAAACAGTTTTGTATGCAAAAACAAACACATTTGCATGCGGGAGATGTGCTTTTGATATGGGGGGGGGAATTGTGAAGATGAATCACATTGCCTTGATGTATTCCCCCCCCCTCAAATTATACAGGTAACTCTTATGTTGAGAGAGAAGAAAAAAAAATGTCCTAAGATAGCATGTAATGCTTAAGGCTCATTCGAAAAGTATTTCCATTGGGACAAATTATCTTTCTTCCTAAGATGGTAAAGGGTCTGGGGCAGTAGTTCTCAACCTTTTTAATGCCGCGACCCCCAACCGGTCGTAAGTCGAGGACTACTCAACCGGTTGTAAGTCGAGGACTACTCAACTGGTGCAGCACCGTTTGCAGAATGGGACTTTTGGAGGGCTCAGCAGGGCAGAGACAGCCTGGACAATTCCTATTGGCTTTTGAAAGCCAATAGAATTAGACTCTATTCAAGAGAGTCTATTCTATTGGCTTTCAAAAGCCAATAGAATAAAAGGGAGTAGCACAGCTAAGGAAAAGGGGGGGAAATGGTGGACTGTGTTGTTTGGCGACCCCCGTGAAATGGTCGTTCGACCCCAAATGGGGTCCCGACCCACAGGTTGAGAACCACTGGCCTGGGGGCTAAACCGTAGGATAAATGATTGATGGAACTAGGTATGTTAGCCTAGTGAAGGCTTAGGGGAGATTTTCCAATACTTGAGGGGCTGCCATAGAGAAGAGGGGGGCATCCTATTCTCCAGAGCACCTGAGCGCAGGACAAGACGTAATGGCTGGAAACCTATAAAGAGAGATCTGGAACTAAGGAGAAACTTCCTGACAGGGAGAACAATTCACCAGTGGAACAACTTGCCTCCAGAAGTTGTGGCTGCTCCATCAATGGAGGTTTTCAAAAACAGACTGGACAACCATTTGATCAGAATGATAGATCTCCTGTCTTTAGCAGGGGTTGGACTAGAAGACCTCCAAGCTCCCTTCCAGCTCTAGGATTCTATGAGTGCATAGTTGACCCCTTCAGTAAGGCCACTGTCCAACCTCCCCCAGCCCCAAGGTCCAAAGGGAGGGGGGGGAAACCACAGCCAGAACAAAACTACCCTTGTGTGCAAATCCCTCCGGGAATTCCAAGCTCTTGTTAATGCCTTGAGAAATGTGTCAGGGAGGGAGACAAAAGCTGCCAGCAGTTCCAGGGCAGAATTCTCAAGGGGGGGGGGGGGAGGAAGGAACAGGCTGGACCACGTACAGGCAGTCCTCGGCATACGACAGTTGAGGCCAACATTTCCGTCGCTAAGACAGATCTTGGTTGAGTTTTGCCCCATTTTGCGACCCTTTGGCCAGTTAAGCGAGTCACTTAAGTTGTTAAGTGAATCGTGTCATCCTTAAGCAAATCTCCGGCTTCTCCCGCTGACTTTGCTTAGCAAGAAGCTGACTCAGAAGGTTGCAAATGGGGATCGCTTGATCCCAGGGCACCGCAACTGTCGTACATGCAACGGGGGGTGGGTGGGGGGTGTGCCGTGGGCCCGAATTTTGACCACGCAAAGCGGTAGAAGTCACTAAGTGTGAAAAACCGATCACAAGTCGCTTTTTTCCAGTGAGGATGCAATTTCCAACGGCCACTAAACGGATGGTGGGAAGTTGAGGATTACCTATGCACCAGGGGTCCCCAACCGTGGCCACTTGTGGACTTGTGGACTTGAACTCCCAGAATTTCTCAGCCAGCTTGGTTGAAGTCCACAAGTCTTAAAGCGGCCACCTCTGCTATACACAACTGAATTCCTGATCTCCTGGCTCATTTAAGCCTTCCTGGCCTCCTGTGGATACCCCGAGCTCTCTTGATGAACAGCTCCCCCCACCACAACCAGGTCTGATTTATAAAAAAATATTTTTCATCATATAAATAACAGCATTAAGGGAGATTCTACAAAACTTAAGAACAAAATCAAGAAGGAAAAACAATTGCTCGCGTATCCAGTCCTGTCCACTACGTCTAGCTAAGCCGAAATCAAAACAAACCACGTTAGAGCCAAAACTGACATGCAAACCATAGGCTTGACATGTACTGCTCAAGTTTATTGCACTTTTTTGGTATGTGTATAAATCGCCTGTCTGCTTGCATTTTTCCTTTGATGGCTTTTGAATGAGACTCTACTGCCCCCTGCTGATCAGAAGGCATTTTACAGGACGTTCAACGTTGGGACTTTTCACAAAAAGCTTTTGCCAATTTTACAGTGGTACTTTTGATACTCAAACTGCTCTGAAACTCACCAAACTTTTTAGAATAGAGCTGGAAAGAGCCTTGAAGGTCTTCTAGTCCAGCCCCCTGCTTGAGCAGGAGAACGTATACCATTTCAGACAAGTGACTGTCCAGTGTCTTCTTAAAAACCTCCAGCGATGGAGCGCCCACAATTTCTGATGTCCAGCTGTTCCACTGGTTGATTGTCCTCACTATCAGGAAGTTTCATCTTAATTCCAGGTTGCTTCTCTCTTTGATCAGTTTCCAACCATTGTTTCTTGCCCTCTGTTGCTTTGGTGAATAATTTGACCCCCTCTTCTTTGTGGCAGCCTCTCAAATACTAGAATATTGCTATCATGTCTCCCCTATTTCTTCTTTTCTTTAGACTATCCAAACCCAAGTCCCGCAGCCGTTCTTCGTGTGTTTTAGTCTCCAGGCCTTTGATCATCTTAGTTGCTCTTCTCTGAATTTTTTCCAAGGTCTCAGCATCTTGTTTGTAGCAACATTCCAGGTGTGGTCTCGCTAGGGATTTATAAAGCAGTACTAATACTTAGTACTCGATGCATTTTTGTTGTCCCGGTACTTGTTTGATTGGTACTCAACGCACAAGTTAGAACTTGTTGGTGTCAGTTGCCTTGTCCATCCATATCTATCTATCTGTCTGTCTGTCTGTCTGTCTGTCTGTCTGTCTATCTATCTACACACACACACACACACACACATATAAAAACTATTTTCTGCTTAGGGATAAGGATAATACAGAGATATGCTGGATTGCTGCACAAACTGTCAAGGTTTCCATTCAAGTGTGCTTTATGAATGCCATGTATATTGTTTGTTTCCCATTCTGGCATATCTGTTTGAAGAGCTTCGCAAACACAAGAGCTTCCGGTCTGTCGGAGAAAAAGTATTCGCTCCCATTAAGCCAAAAGGAAAGAAGCCCGCTTGTTTTCGTTTAACATTTATTTGTTTCCTTACTGCCTCAAGGTGGTTCCCTATTGATACAAAGATTAGAGTCACAGACACAAGACAAATGGAAAATAAGAAATTAAAGAAAGCACTCCTTGCCTAAATACAAAGAAAGAAAAGAGAGGAAAAAACCCCACACAGTAAACAGAAGTGCGCAGTGTTTGTGCAAACACTTTACAAACTCAAAAGACCAAAAACTCCATTGCTGAAATGTCTACAACTATATTTAAGTTCTGTATATAAAACCGGATTATTTCAAAAATGTCCTTTGTTGGGTTTGGATTTTTTTTTTTTTTTTTTTTTTTGCAATTCTGGAGGAAAAAAAGTTTAAAAAAAAACATTATCCAGAAGTCTTGCAGATTTCAAAGGTTTTGTTCTTTCTGTGGTTTTTTTTTTTTTTTTTGCTTGTACATGATGAATAGCAATCGGGTCTCCTGATCTTAGAGAGCTACTATGATAGATTATCTAACGTTTCCTCACATGTCCTAGCGACTACAAACAGGAGTAGGAGTAGGAGAGAGAGAGAGAGAAAGAAGGAAGGAAGGAAAACCTGGAGTGTATTTTAATACACGAACAGGGTGGGGCTGCCAAGAAAGGGGGTTTAAGGGCGGGAAGGGAAGTGGAACTTAAGCTCGTTCACCACGGATGCGACGGGCCAGTTGTATGTCTTTTGGCATGATAGTGACCCGCTTGGCATGGATGGCACACAAGTTGGTATCCTCAAACAGACCCACGAGGTACGCCTCGCTGGCTTCCTAAAAGATACAGAAAGGCAGTTAGAAAAGGGACTGATAATTACACAATTGGATGGGATTATAAACGTACACAGGCGCAATACTCGACTTACAGCTAGAGTTTCCACTGCTAAGCAAGGCAGTTGTTGAGTGGGTTGTGCCCGACTTTAGGACCTTGTTTGCCACAGCTGTTAAGCGAATCACCACCGTTGTTAAGTGAATCACACGGTGGTCAAGGGAATCTGGCTTCCCCCATTAAATGTGTCTTAGCTGGGAAGGTCGCAGATGGCAATTGTTGTGAATACATGCCGGTTGCCAAGTGCCCAGATTTCGATCACCTGATGGTGCGGCTGCTGCGACAGTTTGAGGTCTGAAGGCAGCTTATAAATCACTTTTTTCGGTGCCGTTGTGACTTTGAACAGTCACTAAACAAATGGCCGTAAGTAAAGGACTACACACACACACACACACACGAGGGAACTGTTAATCCATCGTATTTCGAACTCAGCCTAGAATGATCAAATTCTTTCCTTTTGAGATAAACAGCCTTATGCAGAATGCAGATGAAGAGTAAAAATAATAATAAGCCACAGGAACAAAAAAATAGCAAGTCCAAGCAATTAAAGACTTAAGTTAGGGAAAAAGACCACATAACCAATGCTTTTTAGGGGGGCATTAGAATGGCCTAAAAAGACTGTCAAATAATTTACACCAGGGGTCCCCAATCCCCGGGCCGGGGCCTAGTTGCAACCGGGCTGCAGAAACAGCGGGCCGGTGCGTAGGTGCACACAACTTGACTTACGTTGAGTGGCGGGTCAGGACATGAGCGCATCTCAACTAATTGAGCTGTGTGTGCATGTGTGTGGGCTGGCCAACCGCTCACACGAGTCAAGCAAACACATAGGCCCGGTTATCCTCCCCCCCCCACCCCAGCTGGGCCAACACGCAAAGGTTGGGGACCGCTGATTTACTCCATCTTGCAAGAACCTTCTGATCTTTCCTTGCTCCCATCACATCCATACAGTGTCTATTCTATTTGGGCAACTGTTGCTTTCTTGAGACTGCCAATGTCAAAAAAAGAAAAAAAAAAAGAAGGAAAGATCTTTAGAAGAGGATATTTCAGTTTTTTTTTTTTCCCCTTCAAGCCTTATTAGTTTATTCAATAGAGAGCTTTCCAGGCTCTGGAGTTCCCCAGTCTTAGTATGGCTGAAATCCAGAGACCTCTCATCCACAGACCTCTCAAGAAAGCACACTAAATAACAGAAGCGTGTAGTACTGGCAGTTTTAGGGGGTACAGTTCTACAGGCCTTTGGAACAACCCCTTTGAGATACATTTGGCTGTCAGCGGAATAGTTGTCTAACTGCACCTTAAAACCGGAAGAGAGAGATTTTGAGGAAACATCGACCTGCAAAGCCCCGATGGCGGCACTCTGGAACCGCAAGTCTGTCTTGAAATCCTGAGCAATTTCACGGACCAGGCGCTGGAAGGGCAGCTTGCGGATCAGCAACTCTGTGGATTTTTGATACCGCCGTATTTCTCGCAGGGCCACCGTGCCAGGCCTAGATGGGATGACGTGAAAATAAGTTTACGTGGCTCACCTCCCAGGAGCAATTCCCAGGATTCCTTAAGAATCAGAAATCTTCTTTCCACAGAAAAGTTGTTAATAGTGGCAAGCAAAGACAATGGACGTGGAAACTTCCCTAGTGGACAAATAATTTGGGAGGTGAGAATGGGGCCTGGGGGCAACCACTCCCCAATTCCACCAAAGGCTTAATATAAATACCTGTAACGGTGAGGTTTTTTCACTCCACCAGTTGACGGTGCACTTTTTCGAGCGGCTTTTGTGGCCAGCTGCTTTCGTGGCGCCTTCCCACCAGTGGATTTACGAGCAGTCTGCTTGGTACGGGCCATTCTGGAAGTTTCTTAGGATGCAAAATGTCTGCTAACAAAAAGAGAGGATCCTTCCTTAAAAAGACATTAACACTCTTCCAATATGTCCTTAAAACAAAACACGAAGAAGCCCGAGATAAATTTTCAAATATTTATCTCGATGTACAAAATCAACCTATTGTCTTGGAAAACAGTCTGCTTACAAAGAATATATTTATAAATAAAATGAGAGAAAGAAAGAAAAAAACTTCCTATTTTTCAAAAAATATTTTTTCCTATTTTGGCAGCCAAAAGCTTGTGTGGACAATGTGAGTCTTTTGAAACAGCCTCTTTCTTCCAACATATTTGTGTTATTTCAGGAGTTTCTTCTGTAAACTAATATAAAAGAAGCCAGATTTTTTTTCCTATTTACAAATCACTCAGCTTCAGAAAAAGGGATATTCTGAGTTCTGGGCAATGCAAGAGAGGGCTTACCTCTCCTATTCTAAAATGACTCCTAAGGCTAAGTGGTCCTTGATTTAGGATTGTAAATCATAAATGACAGTAACTGAGTCCAGAACTACAGTTGAAAGTTATTGGGGTTGTTAAGTCAAGGCATTGTGTGACCAGAAGCAGTTGTTAAGCAAATGCAACAGTTGTTAAATGGATCTATTTTACCCAATGGGTGTTGTTGTTTATTTTGCTGGAAATCAGAAGCACCAGAAACCACCCCAACATGTTGAAAATCAAAGTTATGTGACCGCAGGATGCTGCAAAGATGAACCGGTTGCCAAGCGCCCAAAACATGATTCTGTGATTGCAGGAGGGATAACTGTCACTTCAAAATTGGGGTGCTAAGTAGTTTTTGCAGGTCCATCATAATGGCCACTAAGCAACTGGTTGTAAATCGAGAACTTCGGTATTATAAAACGGTCAGGCATGCCTACAGTCCTTAGCTCCAAGTAAAATCCAATGAGCCTCATGGACCATATTTAAAAAGTTTTTTTTAAAAAAACCCTGGATGCTTCAAAGAACTTTTGAGAAGAATGATCTTACTGAGGCTGTGTTTGTCCCGAGATTAAAAAATGGTGCTGGATCTGTTCAGATTAGAAATGTCTGATTACAGTTTTTTGCATTGTGTCTGGGTGCAGATTTGTTAAGTGAGTTTTGCCCCATTTTACGACTTTTCTTGCCACAGTTGTTAAGTGAAATCACCGCAGTTGTTAAATTAGTCACAGGATTGTTAAGGGAATCTGCCTTCCCTACTGACACTGCTTGTCAGAAGGTCGCAAAACGGGATGATCACATGACCCCAGGGGACGCTGCAACCGTCATAAGTACATGCCAGTTGCCAAGCCTCTGAATTTTCATCACGTGACCACAGGGATGCTGCAAAGGTCGTAACTGTGGAAAGCGGTCATAAGTCACTTTTTTCCAGTGCCGTCTGAATGGTCACTAAATGAATCGTTGTTGAGGACTGCCTGTAGTTTCTCCACTTGCTCTGATTGAAGCAGCACAGAAGTTACAGTAAATAAAATAAGGATTAATGTGCTGGCCGGCAATGACTTTGCAAGCACAAGCAAAATGTTAAAGCAGTGGTTCTCAACCTGTGGGTCGGGATCCCATTTGGGGTCGAACGACCATTTCACGGGGGTCGCCAAACAACGCAGTCCGCCATTTTTCCCCCCTTTTCCTTAGCTGTGCTCCTCCCTTTTTTTCTATTGGCTTTGGAAAGCCAATAGAAGAGACTCTCTTGAATAGAGTCTCATTCTATTGGCTTTCAAAAGCCAACAGGAATTGTCCAGGCTGTCTCTGCCCTGCTGAGCCCGCCAAAAGTCCCATTCTGCAAACGGTGCTGCACCAGTTGAATAGTCCTCGACTTACGACCAGTTGAGTAGTCCTCGACTTACGACCGGTTGAGTAGTCCTCGACTTACGACCGGTTGGGGGGTCGCGGCATTAAAAAGGTTGAGAACCACTGTGTTAAATATTTGCAAAACCTATACATAAAAACCCAGCTCTGGATTCTGTTTTCTCGTCAGGCTGCGACTTTTAACGAAGAGGCAGCAAAAAAAAAAAGTTGTTGTTTTTTTTTAATTAACTAAAACGGATTAAGAGTTCCTTGTCCTAAATGAGACAGCTATGAAGGTAGGATCAGCGCCCAGGAACAAAAACGAGGAAGGGAAAAAGGAAAAAGGCTGGGCAGCCTCGAAATAAACATCTAGAGATAATTAAGAGATGCAACTTCAACTCCCAGAATTCCTACTCAGAGCGTCCTTCCCAAATAAGCCGCTCGGAATTCTGGGAGTTGAAGTGGCACCTCTACTGAGGCGGCTGGGTTGCGCGAGACTAAAGACTCCACGCCCCAGAAGCCTTTGCGGAAACCCTTTCCTCCAATTGGCTGTTCGGAACGTTAGGGACACCCACCCAGACTCTCCCCCGCCCTCACCGAACGCACGTACGCCGCGGAGCTTTTCGTTCCGATTGGCCCGCGCGCGCGGCCACCCAATCGCCTTTTAGCCCGGGCTCGCTAAAGAGCAGAGCGAGGGCGGGATGGCTCGAAGGCTCCAGGCAGACTGACACCGACTCGGCGCCAATCAGCCTCCACCTTTCCAGCCTATCACGAAGGCGACCGTAATCGTCGCCCTTTCCACCAATCGCCGGGGGAGGCACACGGAAGGCGGGATTTAAGCTTCCACGGGTGTGTGGTTGGGGGGGGGGCAGGAGATGAAACGCATCGCCTCAAACGACCCGAGTTTTCAATTCGCCCCCTTTTATTTTCGTCGCCCCCCTCCCCGCCGTCGAAAGGGGGGGGCGAAGCGCCCTCCCCGGTGTTGGGCTTACCTCAGCTCGTCCGCCTCGCGCTTCTACGGCCTTGGGTCGTGTCGCGGCCGCGCTCGCGCTGCCTGCTCGCCGACTTCCCGCCTTTCCCGCCTGCCCCCACAAGAAAATGGCGGGTTCCAGGGCCAGGCTTTTTAACCGTCATGCACCGGGGCTGGAGGAGGAGGGAGCGGAGGAGGGAGGGTCAGCTGAGGTGAACCCGGCGCGCAGGCCGCCATCTTGGCCCCGCGGCCTCCTCGCCTCGCCGCCCGGTTCTTCCGGGCTCCGCGTCGCCAGCCGTGGCTCCAGGGCGGCTGGGATGAAGCTACCCGGGGATAAATGGAGGATTTATAAGGCTGGCTTCGCGGGACACCCAGTGAGCCCTGGAGAGAGGAGGGAAGGGGGTGCAGAAGGATGCCGGTCGTGGATCCGTTGCCTTCCTGAGGGGAATTTCTGCCTCTTTTATCATCCCATCTACCTCATCTCTTGCATTTTATATCTCTGATTCGTCTTTATATTAGATTATCGACAGTCCGTTGACCGTGAGAATTTCTACCTCTTTGATCACCCCCTCTATAGTCTGTCTCATCTCTTGTTATTTTATATCTCTGATTCGTCTTTTGTCTTTATGTTCGATATCTACAGTCCGTTGACTTCCTGAGGGGAATTTCTACCTCTTATCATCCATCTATTTCATCTGTATTTTTTTTCTCTCTCTCTCTGGCTGTCTTCTATGCCTTGATAATAATAATAAAGTTGGAAGGGACCTCGGAGGTCATCTAGTCCAACCCCCCCCCCTCTTTGATCATCCCATCTATCTCTTGTCAGCTCTCATCTCTTGTATTTTATATCTCTTGAGTGTCTTCTGTCTTTTAGGTCTTTATATTCGATATCTACAGTCCGTTGCCTTCGCGAGGGCATTTCTACCTCTTATCATCCATCTATTTCATCTGTATTTTCTCTCTCTCTCTCTGGCTGTCTTCTATGCCTTTATAATAATAAAGTTGGAAGGGACCTTGGAGGTCATCTAGTCCAACCCCCTGCTCAAGCAGGAGACCCTATATCGTTTCTGACAAATGGCTGTCCAGTCTCTTCTTAAAAACTTCCAGTGTTGGAGCATTTACTGCTTCTGGAGGCAGGTTGTTCCACTGGTTAATTGTTCTCACTGTCAGGAAGTTTCTCCTTAGTTCTAGGTTGCTTCTCTCCTTGATTAGTTTCCATCTGTTGCTTCTTGTCCTGCCTTAGATATCTACAGTATCTAGGTGCATTATAAAGGGCTAGGTAAGTGGGTGGATATATATATACAAGTCCTTGATTTACAGTTCATTTAGTGACTGTCCAACGTTACAACAGCACTGAAAAAAGGGACTTGGGACCATTTTTCATACTTAGGACTGTTGCAGCATCCCCACGATTGCATTATTAAAATTTACACGCTTGGCTGTTGGAGATGTGGTTACTTGGATGCTACTTATTATCATATTTGGTGGTCATGTAAAAATATAAAAACTTTTTGGATTAAGATATGGTGGAATATTCAAAGAATTTTTAAAAGAAGGATAAAATTTACTCCACAATTGTTTTTGCTGGGTATTGTTTCTGATTGTGACAGTAAAGAAACTATATTAATGTTAAATTTAATTACAGCGGCTAGGTTGTTAGTAGGGCAATGTTGGAAGAAGGAATCTTTGCCTACTTTGCAAGAGTGGTTTCTTAAAGTTTCCTATTTAGCGGAAATGGCAAAGATTTTGGCTTTCTTGAAAGATCAATCACAAGAGAAGTACCTCTTGGTATGGAAAAGATGGATAAATTTTATACAATATAAATATGATATAAAAAATATTTAGTTTTTGAATAATTTATATTTAAAGTTTAAGATTTTTTTTCTTTATTTTTTTTCTCCTTTTTTTGTTTTTCTCTTTTTGTTTTTTAAATATGGGTGTTAAAGTATTTTATAATTTGTTTAATTATTGTAATCAAATTTGTATATGATTTATTTGTGTTTAAAACTTTTTCTTTTAAATTTTAATTAAGCCTGTATTCAGCTCTGGGAAGGTTGGGGGAGGGTTGGGAGGGTCTGGGGAAGGGAAATTTTTTTTGTAAAATTTTAAAAAATTTCAATAAAAAAAATAAAAAAATTTACACACTTGGCAACTGACTCATACTTATGACAATTGCAATGGGGTCATGTGATCCCCTTTTGTGATCCTCTGACTATTATGATTAATAATTATAACTATGATTTATATAACCTATCACTTTGTTCTTCTGTTTACACTGAGAGCTTCTGTACCAGAGACAAATTCCTGTTGTCCAATCACACTTGTTCTATTCAGAGAAGTATATAAATGCAGTAAGTAAATAAATAATGTATCAATCTGCAACAGAATCTAAAGTGTTACTGTGCCCCAGGGGCAAACTGAATGTTGTGCACAATGTTTTCACACAGGTTGCGGCCTCTTGGAAGTAACATTTTATTAAATGTTTAGTGCGTTTGATAATGTTTGAGCAAATAAATCAGAAGTGGGTATAAAGCACACAATCCTGCAACAGGGAAGTTAGGAGCGCTGGGAAAGAAAGAAAGAACACACATTTTCAATTTAAGATGTTCTAGGATTCTAAAATTATAGTTCAATACAAAAGGGTTTTTTTTTTGTATCTGGTTCCATCATAGATTGGAAGCGTTTGTGTATGATGAAAGCAAACATTTGATGAATCTTCCACTCTTCCTATTTTTTAGTAAATCCTTTCTCACAATTGCCACAAATGCAGGTATTAAAAACAAACAAACAAAGCCTTAATTGCATGCAGCACACAATGAAAACAGAAGATAGATGTGTTAGGAGTTGCAGGCTTAATTTTAAATTTACACCCAAACACTGAATTAGAGCACAAGTCCTTCCATCTGGCCTTGATCAAGTTGGCATCCAGCGCAAAGTTTTCGGGGAACTGCCAGGTGTCAAGACAACATTTCAGCAGCTCCCGTCATCAAGCGATTTGCCAAGATGAGCAAAACAGATTTTTCTTGAGCTGCCAAATAAAGAAGAATTTTTTTTTAAAAAAACCTGCAAGTACAAGGAAAAGTTAGCCATTGTTTTCCCTGGAGCACCATGTATTTCCACATGGAAAGGCTTTGAGTTTCCTGCAGATGTGAACATGTTTTCACAGGTTGGCTGATCAGACAGTGTGCCCTACTTTTAGATATGGACTATCTTATGGTGTGGGGAGAAGAGCCCCACTTAGATAATGGCTTAAAAATATTTCATGTAAGCCTCAATTTATATGAATTGAGGAATCATAAACCCCGGATTATGGATTGAAACTTGATAAAATACTACCTAGAACAGTGGTTCTCAACCTTTCTAATGCCGCAACCCCATAATACACTTCCCCATGTTGTGGTGACCCCCAACCACTTATAAATCACTGGGTGCCAGGGGCGTGGCCAAAGAAAAGGGGGGAAAAATGGCGGACAGCCTTGTTTGGCGACCCCTGTGAAATGGTCGTTCGATCCCAAATGGGGTCCCGACCCACAGGTTGAGAACCACTGACCTAGAACAAACATTCTTTAGAATGAAGGATTGCTAATATTTACAGCTATTTTTGGAAATAACATTAAAAGTTGTCACATTACATTATTTGCAAGGAGACAGGATAGAAGCTATTTTTAAAATACATGCTAGCCTTTTTAGGTTTCAGATCTGCACTACATGGACGAAGCATCTGTAGAAATTCTCCAAGCCAACATTAATAAAAGATCACCGCCAGATCAGTCTTTAGAGCAAAGTGTTTTCTGTATCAAGTCTTTTTTTTCCCTATTAACAAAAGGGCTTATGCATTCCAGTTTGGGGAAGAGCAACATTTTACTGGGACCCTTTGAGAAGTAAAAGGGCAATGCCATCCTTACAGGGGCCCCAGACCCAGCATATAGCTGATACTTTGTTAGACAGAGGTCTTTAAGAATACAACTGGAATAAAATGAGCTTCAAAACAAGTCTGATTTTTACCTCTGTTGCATTCTGAGCTGCTAGCCCATGCTTAAAGTCGTCCTCATGCCAAAGCTACTTTGATGGCCTTAATTATCTTGTTGAGTTTGGCATCGTCGTCCACAAAGCCATCTCCGTTCTAGAGAAAAGAAGGAAAGATTCGACACGAGTTGCTGCAGTACTAACAGAGAATAGCAAAGACTCTTTCATGCCAGCGCATGCCCAAACTTTTGTCTCCAGGCAGATCTGTTACACTTCCTGGAAAAACAAATCTGCCCTTCACCGTTAACTAGACTTGCTCTTAATGAGAGAAAACATTATTCTCAGCGTAACAGAAATTAGCATTTATGGAAGTGGGGAAAGAAGGAAGGAAGTCTAATTATCTTCTTGGACTATATTCAAAGGCACAGGAAATTGTGCCTTGAGTTCTTCCACAATGAGAGACTTCCTATGTATTAAATACTAGTTACAGATGGATTATAGCCCAGCTCCTTCCACGCCCATGTGTTTGTACACACAATAAACCATGGTTCCCTTTCTGTGATGGACCTTACATGAACTCCCCAGAGGTCAAAGAGCTGCAAACAGAACCCAATTGTCTTCCAGACAGCGCCTTGTAGCTTAATATCTAGACATCCTGCTAAGCCATAATGTGGTTTATTTAATTTCAGGCTTGACCATCATAATTTGCACAACTCAGCTCCCAACTATGTTCTTCGTGGTCTGTGTTGGCTTCAGTGCAAGGGTTTTTTGTTGAGCTGCTTACCTTTTTGGAGTGCACCACCTTGCCGGCTACCATCACTTCAAACCATCCCGTGACCTGTGGAGTCCCTTCTCCGCTCTAGATGGAACCAAGACACCATTACCTTGTAACAATCACAGGCAGAAACACAAACACGCCCCCCAAGGATTTTCCAATCATCTTCTCCTAGTCTTTGAACCCAGATCCCTCTCCCACACTCTGTCTATGGACTGAACCCAACAAGATGGCAACCACTTTCTTCCTGCAGGGGCAGCCCAACACAGCACGCTCGCTGGGGAATTCTGGGAGTTGAAGTCCACATTACCTTCCAGTTGCTGAAGTTGAGAAACATTGGCATAGATCAGGGGTAGGCAACCTTGGCTCTTTTATGACTCGTGGACTTCAACTCCCAGAATTCCTGAGCCAGCACAGCCATAAAGGAGCCAAGGTTGCCTACCCCTGGCATAAATGATATTGAACAGATGACAATCCCATTTGGTGTAAAGCACTACAGGTAGTCCTCAACTTACGACTAGTCGCTTGATGTCTGAAGCTATACCCTATGGTTCTCAGAGCTGTTTACAATCTGGTTTCAAAGTTCAACACTCCTGCCCTGTGGTCACATGACTGCATTTTGGCTACGTTTACAGCCATTTGTAGCATCCTATGGTTAAAGGACCAGGATTTTTGCCTTTTTTTTTTTTTTTAACTGGAAACCAGTGTTAACCTCTGATTTCTGGCAAAAAACAACAACAACCCCATCCCATTAGGTATAATGCTTAACAACTGTTGCCGAACGAAGGCTGTAAAATAAGGTATGGTGATGTGTTGACCCATCTAATGGTCACCAACAACTGCAGGCTTAATTACAGCCATAAGGGCAGGTCTGTGTCTGGTTCTCCAAGGTTTGCATTAACTCTGCAACGTATCTAAGCAGGCCTGCTGGGCTGTTCTGCTCCTACACCGACCAAGGCCCCACTTAATAGCAATAGCACTTAGACTTATATTCCGCTTCACAGTATATACAGAGGTATATACAGAGTCAGCCTCTTGCCCCCAATCACCTGGGTCTTCATTTTACCAACCTCAGAAGGATGGAAGGCTTAGTCAACCTTGAGCCAGTCAGGATCGAACTGATGGCAGTGGGCAGAGTCAGCCCGCAATGCTGCATTTTAACCACTGCGCCACCAGAGGGGGCCTTAGAGAATCCAACTCTGCCAATCAAAATGATCAGTAACAACTGTGGGATCCTTTCCAAGTATAGTAATTCTCAACTGATGACCACAATTGAGCTTAGCATTTATGTTGCTCAGTGAGAAATTGCCCCCATTTTATGACGTTTCTTGCCCCGTTTGTTAAGTGAATCACTGCAGATGTTAAATTGGTAGCACAGTTGTTAAGTGAATCTGGCTTCCCCTGCTGACTTTGCTTCTCGAAAGATGACAAAAGGAGGTCACATGACATCACGTGACCCTGGGGAGCTGCAACTGTCATAAACATGAACCAGTGGCCAAGCGTCTGAATTTTGATTACTTGACCGTGAGGGTCGTAAGTGTGAACGATGGTCGTTAAGTCCAGTGCCATTGTACTCTGAATGGTCACTAAACGAACTGTTGTAAGTCCAGGACTTACAAATCTCAATTCTCAACTTCAGCAACTTTCACTATGTTACACGCAAGGGGTTTGTAAAAGATCAGAAGTGTAAAAGTCTAAGTGCTATTGCTATTTAGTGGGGCCCTGGTTTTAAAGCAGGGGTAAGCAACCTTGGCTCTTTTATGACTTGCGGACTTCAACTCTCAGAATTCCTGAGTCAGTAGTTGATGTCCACAACATGGCTGACTCAGGAATTCTGGGAGTTGAAGTCCACAAGTCATAAAAGAGCTAAGGTTGCCTACTCCTGCTTTAAAGCAACATTTTCGGTTTACATCATGTCCTTACAGAGAGAAGACCTTTGATTATAGTGCGATTGATAAACTACTTAAAATGACCAGCCAAATGACAAAATCTTTCTCCTTGCCCCAAATCTACTTTATTTAGGAACCTCATGAGATGATCGGAAGAAAAGGAAGGCGAAATCAGGAATGGCTCCAAAGACTCACAATTTCCAGCTTGCCCGGAAACTCTTTTTCGAGTTCCTTTCTGAGCTGTTGAAACTACAAGGGGGAGAAAAAAGGAGAAAGTTATAAAGTTCAGAAAAATCCATGCTCAATGTTTTTTCAGAGAAATTAAATCTCAGTGAAGAGAAGCATATATAAAAAATGCAGTAAAAAGACAGATTTCCCACATCTGGGCTCTTCAATTAGGCTCCAAGTATCTTTGCTAAGTGACTAAATTGATTTTACTTTACTTCGTACATGCACATGGATGCCCATTTCATACACATGGGAGGGCGGCTCACAATTAAACATAATTGACATACCTTGGGTTTGTAGCCTCAGGCTCCACTAGAATCAAAACAAAAGGAAAAATTAGCATTATTTTCTGTTTGTCAGCACAAGAAGCTGTCTCATCACCATCATAATTCTCTCTTATGCTTAATCAGTTCCCTGGGATGGCAAATCCACAAACGAGCATTCAAATGCAGATACATTTTCCTGGACCTGCCAAAACCTCAAGATACCTTTTTTTTTTTTTAAAGTCCTGGATTTACCGCATAACTGGGACCAGAATTGCTGCTGTCCAGCCCAGCAAGGCAGTGCCAAAAATAACAGCCAATGGGAAAGCCTAAGAGCCACATGTAGGAAGCTTTCGGCCAGAGAAACTGAGTCACAGATGCTGTTTTGCAGCACGAAAAGATACTGAAGAGCATTTCAATGTGGCCTTTTAGAAATAGGTGTGAGCCAGCCGTGTGCTGCAGCTGCCAAAAAAGCCAACACAGTCCTGAGCTGCATTAACAAAGGGACAGAATCAAGATCACATGAAGTGTTAAATACACCACTTTACAATGCCTTGGTAAGGCCACACTTGGAATACGGCATCCAGTTTTGGTCGCTACAATGTAAAACAGATGTTGAGACTCCAGAAAGAGTATAGAGAAGAGCAACAAAGATGATTAGGGGACTGCAGGCTAAAACATATAAGGAACGGTTGCTGGAATTGGGTATGTCTAGTTTAACGAAGAGAAGGACAAGGGGGGACAGGATAGCAGTATTCCAATATCTCAGGGGCTGCCCCAAAGAAGTGGGAGTCAAGCTATTCTCCAAAGCGCCTGAAGGCAGGACAAGAAGCAAAGGATGGAAACTGATCAAGGAGAGAAGCAACCTAGAACTAAGGAGAAACTTCCTGACAGTCAGAACAATTAACCAGTGGAACAACCTGCCTCCAGAAGCGGTCAATGCTCCAACACTGGAAGTTTTTAAGAAGAGACTGGATAGCCATTTGTCTGAAATGGAATAGGGTTTCCTGCCTAAGCAGGGGGTTGGACTAGAAGACCTCTAAGGTCCCTTCCAGCTCTCTTATTTTGCTGTATATGGTTATAGGTGCTGGAGAGATGGAGCCCTGTGTGGAAGGCCAAGTTTGGTCTGCTAGCAAGCCACAGTCACACCCTTGGTGGCAAAGTTTTATTAAACGGGGGGAGGGGGGAGCCATTACCCCTACACTTAGGCCAAGGGTGGGGAACCTTGGCTCTTTTATGACTTGTGGACTTCAACTCCCAGAATTCCTGAGCCATATGGGCCTTTTTAATTTGGTACATCAGAGACCACCCATCCCGTTCTTACTGCATTTCCATCCGAAAGAAGCCAGCATCAATGGCCCATTGTTTAAACATCTCACTTAACCCACTTGCGCAAGCCGACTTTTGCAATTCTCACATTCCAGGAAATGTTTTGAAGCTTTCACATCTCTCCAGCTCTGAACACAAGGCTTAGCCTTTTTTAAAACTTTGGGAGACTCCACGAGGCCAGGCATAGGATCCAGGGACGTGCAAAACCCCCCCCCCCTCTTCTCCAAATAGAATTCAGTAAGAAAGCCAAGGTAAAGTTACTCAGCCCTAACACAGCCCCCGTACCTGGCTTCGCACGCGATTAACTCTCCTTTTAGCCTGCAATGTGACTGAAGGGCGCAGCTGCTTTGCCTTCGGGCTCCAGAAAGACCTGCCCTATTAACCCCCCTGCGCAACTGCAAACTTTCGCTGCAAATCAGGGACCACTTTCCCCCACTCCATTGATTTTAAAACCGTTAGGAGCCCGTGCACGGGGGGGGGGGGAGAATGGCAAGATTCCGACGGCTATAAAACGCTGCGGCTTGCCACCGATAAACCTGCAACGCCTAGGAAGCCCAGAAAGCACGCATACACACACACACACACACACACATACACATACATACACGGGTGGGGGGACCCTCCCCAAGGACCCCGCTGCAGGGCGAGGGGAGCAAAGCCGGAGCCGGGCGAGGCCTCCAGGATGCAGCCGGCTCGGCTGGCTGGCGAAGGGGCCCGCTTGCCTCGAAGCCCCTTCCAGGCTGCGGCGCAACGGCGGGGAATGCGCGAATTCCCCGGCCGCGCTTCCTTACCAGTAAACCACCTTGATCTTCACCGCCATGGCTGCGCGCGCCGCCTCCGAGAAGGTGTACAGGATAGGGGGGGGAAGGCAGAACGTTCGGACCGCCAACGTTCTGATAGGGAATGTTGTGTTGCCCGAGGTTTTAACCCGACGTTCGGACGATACCACCGCCTGGGAAAAGGAAGGGGAGGTTAAAAAACGAAACAAAAAAAATCAGAATTTTTTCCGTTCCCGCTTTTCTCCTCGAATCCCCGCGTTTGGCGTCAGACCCGCACGCAACAACTGTCAATGTTACTTCTTTTTTTTTTTTTAAAAAAGGTATCAGAACAGCATTACAGCCCACTCTGGGTCGGTGCTTCCCCCCCCCCTCCCCGCTTCTTGACACGCTCTTCCAGCGGTGACTCGGGTCACGTGACAGCTGCAGAGGTGGGCACGGGGATTTTTTTACATTTTATTTTCAAAAGTGTCCCTCGAGTTCTCCGCCCACGAAAGCGATGCGAAGATGCAAAGATGCTGTTGACGTTAATGAAAATAGTTGATGCGATGCGTGCGTGAAATTTAGCAAGGGAGGAAAAAGCAAGCTTGTAAAAAAAAAAAAAATTTAAGTACCGGAACTTTGGCCGAGACCGTTCTGCAACTCCCTGTAAATAAATGACAAACGTTGACATTCCGATTTTAAACTGTTCTTGGGAAGATTTTGATTAAATTAAGCATTGAGCCCAGCGAGTGCCACAGTTGCATTTTCCTTTGCGCAGAAACTTACGTCTAGTATTAAACCATGGTTGGCCCTGACCATGGTTTGTTGGTTGTGTCACCACACCAGTATTCACAAAAGTGCAGGAAACTTTGTAGGATACTTGAGCAGAATCAAGGAAGTCCTCAACTTAAGAACCACAGCTGGCAGCCGAATTTCCACTGCTAAGCAAGATGGGTTGTTGTTTTCAGTGAATCGTGCCCAATTTTAGCCAGGGTTCTTAAGTGAACCGTGAGGTCGTTAAGCGGATCCACCTTCCCCCCTCCACCAACTACACTTGTGGAAAGCCAACTGGAAAGGTCGCAAATGATGCCCAGGTGATCCTTGGTGGGTCGTAAGTGGTTGCCAGGTGCCAAGCACCTGGATTTGGATCCCGTAATGCCATTGTAATTTTGGTCACTAAATGAACAGTTGTAAGCCGAGGTCAACCTGTGCAATGAACCAGCGGAAATGCTGGCTGTATGACAAGTGATGAAAAGTCATCAGACATTATAATAAGTCATTAACTAGATCTCATTTGCTTGCCTGTTTAATGGGAAAACTTTCAGTGGCTATCCCCCAGTTAGTTGTGGTTTGATTGATCAGAAGACTCCAGAATTAGGACAGTACCCTAACAAAAGGCTGCCTTATCTGGAGCGATCATTCATGTATTTCATTTATTTTCTATTTATTCACCAGAGGGCAAATAAAAATCCCTTCACAAAGGACCATCTAGTCTCTTCCGCATATGACTCTGTTGATCAGATCAATCATTCAAGGGAAAATGCCCTTCCCAGCATGTAATTTTATTTATTTATTTATTTATTTATGAGACTTATATACCGCTTTAAGTGCAAGCACTCTCTAAGCGGTGTACACCAGTAAGCAATGTATATATATATTTTCATTGCCCCCAACAATCTGGGTCCTCATTTTACCTACCCCAGAAGGATGGAAGGCTGAGTCAACCTTGAGCCGGTGACAAGTGGGCAGCGTAAATGGAATATTATTATTATTAAATCGACACAGCAACACTGGAAAGACAAACAGTCAGCCCCATTTGCTGAGTGACAAATGATTACACGGTCAGCGGATAATGTCTGCGGGCGTAGATGTTGCAGGGATAATTGCAGCAAAATATGGGGCTGATTTGCATGTTGCACTTAGAATGCAGCCCGTCCTCAACTTACAGCAGTTCATTTACTGACCGTTCACAACAGCACTGAAAAAAGTGACTTAGGATCGTTTTTCACACGACAACTGCAGCATCGCCGTGGTCACGTGTTCAAAATTCGGACGCTTGGCAACTGACTCGTACTTACGACCGTTGCTGTGTCCCGGGGTCACGTGATCCCCTTTTGCGACCTTCTGACAAGCAAAATCAATGGGGAAGCCAGTTTCACTTAACAACTGTGTGACTGATTTAACAACTGCAGCGACTGCTGCAAGAAAGGTCGTAAAATGGGGGCAAAACTCACTTAACAAATGTCTCACTTGCCACCAGAAATTGTGGGTGCTCCAACACGGGAGGTTTTTAAGAAGAGGCTGGACTGCCATTTGTCTGAAATGGGATAGGGTTTCCCGCCTGGAGCAGGGGGTTGGACTACATGACCTCCACGGTCCCTTCCAACCCTGTTATTCTCTGATTCTGTAAGGGTCTCCTGCTTGAATAGGGGGTTGGACTAGATGACCTCCACGGTCCCTTCCATCTCTGTTATTCTGGTCAGAGGGAGATTCAACCTGGAATTAAGGAGCAATTTCCTGACAGTGAGAACAGTCAGTTAGTGGAACCCCTTGCCACTCAAAGTTGTGCGCGGATAGCTGGAGGTTCTCAAGAAAAAAAAAACACTTGAGTCAGCCAATTTTTACTTAACAACCCTAGCTATAAAGGTCACAAACTCAGACATGACTCACTTCACAACTGTCTTCCTTAGAAATGGAAATTCTGGTCCCATTGTTAATCAAGGACTACCTCTAGCTGTTGGAGATTATTCAGATGTTCCACAATTGCAACTGATAAAGTCAGTTAAAAGAGTTGGAGGTTGCATTTCTGAAATGTGCCAGGCTTTGCTAGTTTTCTCTCTGGCAGCTTAGTGCTATTTTATGGGTCAGTATATTTCGAGGACCTAAAACAGGGGTCTTCAAACTTGGCCCTTTTATGACTTGTGGACTTCAACCCCCAGAATTCCTCAGCCAGGCACGCGTGCCTGGCTGAGGAATTCTGGGAGTTGAAGTCCACAAGTCATAAAAGGGCCAAGTTTGAAGACCCCTGACCTAAAACAAAAAGGTCAGTTCTATAACCAGGATGGTCCTCTTGTTTGGATCACGCCAAACATCACATTAAATATCGTTCCGGGCCTCAGATGTCTTTGAATGGAACTGTCTTGGTTAAAACTGATCATCAGCTTGTATAACATCAAAGGTTTCATGGTGATCACCCAATTGGTCGTGGCTGTGGTTTAACACAACAGCCAACTGGGCGATCACCATGAAACCTTTTTTTTCCCAAAGATACCAGAATTAGAACGACTGTCTCCTAACACAAGGCCGGCTTGTCCGGAGCGACGATTTGCCGTTCTAAAATAAGCACAAAACGGTCACAGGACATCATGAGACCGGCAAGGCTAATCTGAACATGCTTTCTGTAGAGAGCGATCAAAAGCACATGCCAAAGGGTGGCCATTCTTTGCAGATCCAAATTAAAAACTAGTCTTTCACAGCCCTAAGTAAGGGGGTTAAGATCTCGGAAGCCATGCAGATAGTCCTCAGCACACAACCATTTGTAGTGACAGCGATGATATAGGACAGAGGTCCCCAACCTTTCGGACACCAGGTACCGGTTCCGTGGAGAGAGGGTTTTTTTCGTGGACCGGAGGGAGTGTGGTTTCACTTGTTTGCACGGACCGGTTTACGGCATGCCGCGGACCGGTGCTGATCCACGGATCGGGGGTTGGGGACCCCTGATGTAGGAGGAGGACAGGCAGAGCCTAGGGCAGTGGTGGCGAACCTATGGCGCGGGTGCCAGAGGCGGCACTCGGAGCCCTCTCTGTGGGCACATGTGCCGTTGTCCCAGCGACCCGCTCCTCTCCAGCAGCCCCCCTGGAGGAGAGCCACCCCCGAGCGTGGCCCAAGCGGAGCAGCGCAGCCAAGGACATGGCAGCCAGGCAGCGTAGACAAGACTCTACCCTCACACCCCATCATGCACAGCTGATGCTGCAGGGCGCGGGGAGAGGGCATGGCCACCATGGCGCTACTGAGCTGCCTGGGCGATCTGCGGCGGGCCTTGGAGGCGGTGAGTGGCCCTGCGGGCAGGCGGGGCGAGGAATGGGGAACGGAGTGGGGGAGAGGCAGGGAGTGGAGGCGGGGCCAGTTGTTGGGCACTCAAGTCTCTAAAACAGTGTTTCTCAAGCTTGACCATTTTAAGGCAAGTGGACTTCAACTCCCAGAATTCCACAGCCAGCAATGCTGGCTGTGGAATTCTGGGAGTTGAAGTCCACATGCCTTAAAATGGCCAAGGTTGAGAAACACTGCTCTAAAAGGTTCGCCATCACTGGCCTAGGGGCAGAGTCAAGAGAGGAATTAGCCTGCAGTCTTTATATTCTCACAAGCAACCTAAGTCCTGCTTGAGGGAGACAGTATTATCCGAAAATGTTTCCGTGGTCATGTGGCCAGCTATACACCCAGGCACATGGAACGCTGTTAGCTTCCCACCGAAGTGGTGCCTATTAATCTAATTGCATTTGCATGCTTTCAGACTGCTGGGTGGGCAGGAGCTGAGGCAAGGAACGGGAGCTCACCCCATCATGTGGCTAAGCGATGCGATCGGAGGACGTTGCGGTTTATGACCACATGACATAGCAAGGGAAATTACGGTCCTAATTGTGATTGTAAGTCGAGCGGTACCTGTGCTGCCTACGGATGGAAGGGCAATGTTGATTTCTATGCCCCCTAGTGGGTGGAAGATGTTGATTTCTACGCCCCCTAGTGGGCAGAAAAAGATGCAGTGTACCCCATCTCTCGTAACTGTGATTTGTGATTGGCATGGTCTACTACAGTGGTTCTCAACCTGTGGGTCGGAACCCCATTTGGGGTCGAATGACCATTTCACGGGGGTCGCCAAACAAGGCTTTCCTCCATTTTTCCCCCTTTTCTTTGGCCCTGCCCCTGGCACCCGGTGATGTATAAGTGGTTGGGGGTCACCACAACATGGGGAACTGTATTATGGGGTCGCGGCATTAGAAGGGTTGAGAACCACTGGTCTACTATGTACAATCTTCCGGCTTACTCACTTCTTCAGCCTTTACCTTTTCTACCAACAGCCTACTAGCTGCAAAAAAACGGAGCGGTGGTGAAAATAGATTAATTGAACCACGCAAGCAGCAGGTTGATATAATGTCCAGAAAACTCACCATCCCGAGCAGATCTCAAGGGCCATTCCTCACTGTAAGCCTGCATGTTTTGTGCAAAGTGGAATTGTGCTCTCTTGCGGTTTATACTAACCGTGGCTATCATATGGCACTGGGGGTATATCAATACTTCAAGTGGTAAATAAATATTTGAGATTTAAAGTGTGCTGGCACCAGATTTAATTTGAAAAGCTTTTTGAAACGGGGCTGCATTCTGCGTGGCAGTGTTTCTCAACCTTGGCAACTTCTCAACCTTGGACTTCAACTCCCAGAATTCCCCAGCCACCATAGCATAGCATAGCTGGGGAATTCTGGGAGTTGAAGTCCACCCAGCTTCAAGTCGCCAAGGCTGACAAACCCCGCAGTACGGTATTCGAATGCAGCCTGTAATTATTATATTTACCAAACTTTCCTGCTCTTAAAGGCGAACTCTTTAAATGGCTTGTGACTTCTTCACGGGCCTGACCTGCCGTTTGAAATCCACAGAAATTCCCTTTTTGAATCTGAACGACAATAATTGCAGGCTTGACAAAGCCACAATCTCAGAATGGACGATTTGATCCCGTCCCGTAATTTTTTCCAACTGAAACCTAGGTACTTAATTGTGGCTTAAAAGACCCCAACGGAGGCCAAAATTTCCGTTGCTAAGCGAGACACGGTCGTTTGGTGAATTTGGCCCCATTTTACGAGCTTTCCTGCCGCAGTTGTTAAGCGAGTCGCTGCCGCTGTTAGTCACACGGTTATTAAGTGGATCTGCCTTGACTTGGCTCGTCCGATGGTCATAAAAGAGGATCACGCGACCCCGGGACACTGCCAAGGTCATAACTATGAGTCAGTTTGCCAAGCGTCTGAATTTTGATCACGTGACCTGGGGGGAGGCTGCAACGGTCGTTAAGTGTGAAAAATGGTCCCGAGTGGCTTTTTTCCCGGGCCGCTGCAGCTTTGAACGGTCGCTAAACGAACGGTTGGTAAGTCGAGGATTAATCTCTGTAGAATGCCTTCCAATAAATGAGGACCTAGATTGTTGGGGGCAATGTAAATATATTTATACATTGCTTACTGGTGTACGCCGCTTAGAGAGTGCTTGCACTTAAAGCGGTATATAAGTCTCATAAATAAATAAATAAATAAATAAATAAATAAATAAATAACCCCCCATCTCAGCTGAAAAAAGACGGGCTGCTTTCGGCTATCCAGAGAGCTTGGTGGCTTCCGTTTAACCTGGCTGGGCTCTTGGCTGCTGTTATTTGATTAAGCTTAGCCAAAACAAGGGGAGGCTCCTTCTTCCTTCCCCCCCCCTCACCTTACCCCACCCCCAGGGTGGGAGGTGGAGTCCTTAATCTTTGATAAGGTGCAGACTTAAGATAAAACAGCAAGATTGTGGGCAGGAAGCTTTGCCTGCCTTTGGTGACCTGAGTCCCTCGGCCCAGGTGGTGGGAAGCTAGGAGAGAAAGGATCCCAGAGGCAAACCTGCTACTGGTCCCATCCATGGAAGACTTCAAGGCCTTTGCTACGGACAGCCTGGAAGACTTTGCCCAGGTGATGCCCGGGAACCAGCAGCCTGCCTTGGTGGGCTCTCGCCTCTCCCTGGCCCATCGCCTCTCCCAAAACACCATGCTGGGATGCTACCCAGGGCCAGTCCCCAGCCCAGCTGAGTTGCCTGCCTACCCCCAGGAGGGCTTCCGGAATGGGGAGTGGTACGCCCCCAGCCCACCAGAAGGACCCTACTCTCCAAGTAAGTGCAGGACTCGGAGGGAAAACTGCATCGGTCCAACATCCCAAAGGTTTTTTTATTTTATTTTTTTTCCCCCCCAAAAGGCTTTCTTGGTTGTTGTTGTTTTTTTTCTTTCTTTGAAAATGTTTCGCTTCTCATCCCAAAAGCTTCCTCGGTTCTGCTCAGAGCTTCTTCAGCGCAGGAGAAGGGAAGGAGCTTCTTGGAGGACAAGCGGAAAAATAAAATAAAATAAAATAAACAGCAAAAAAACTCAGTTGCCTTTTTTTGGGAGGGGGGGAAAGCACCTTGGATACAGGAATGAGAATCTGCATAGACGTAGGGAAGTCCACGGTGGGAAAATATATTTGTTGATCAATTGATTTATTGAATTTATTGGCCACCCGTAGGCAAAACTCTGAGCGGAGGGGAAAATAAATCAGGGGCCACTCAATTTTAGACTAACCCAGCTTATTGGAAAGCACCGCCTTTCAAACTGTGGCCTAACCACCACAACATCTGTCATTGCTTTTAGCCAAACAGGACCCATGATTCCCAAACTAAAAAACGGGGCAAAATTATTTCATTTTTTTTTATTGCATCTGCTGGGTAAATTGCACCCAAGAGGGATTGCAAGCCATAGTTTGGGGCGTAGTGTGGGGAGGGGGAGGGGGAGGACGACGACCACCGAGGGGTCTTTAATGCCCTTGTGAGCTTGGTTGTTGTCTTGCAACAATTTTCTAACCCAACTAGGTAACTTCTTCAGTGATAAAAGACAGTGGGCTTCGTGGAGGGGAGGGGAGAGGAGGAGGACTGTGGGGTCTTTGGTGGGGGGGGGAGCAAGGCTTGCTCTCTATTTATATGTGTGGCCTATTTCTCCCCCCCCCCCTTCCCATTTTGTCTTCTGCAAATCAAAACTGGCAAAACGGCACCCGGCTTCCCCAGGTCCCGCAATCTCAGTTTGACCGCGGTGAGTTGGGCCGTAAACAAATTAAATAAATAAAACAAATAAATAAACTCTTAATTCCCAACCTAACCAGCAATCTATTTAAAAACAGCTTCCTTGGTTGGGACGCCTGTCTGCCACCTGCCCGTGTGTCGCTTTCCCTCCTTGTAGCTTTCCCCTGCCGAGGCTTCTTTTCCCAAGGGTTCCCAGGCTGGGCAGGGTCAGCCCCTCCTGGATCTAGCGCCCGACCTGCCTGTTTAGAGGGGAAAGCTGCTTGGCAGACTGCCCTTGTGAAATATGCCAGAGAGGGCTGTTGCGAGGCGCCCCCCCTCCCCGCTGTTTTACAAGAGGTCCCTTTCCTTGGTCCCTTCCCAGTTTTTCCCAGTTGGGCCCCCTCCAGACTGATTGGGATTACAATCCTTCATCTCTCCCTGCCAGTTTGGCATCAGAGATGATCTTCTTTGCACCTGTAAGGGATGCAATACAGGCAGCAGTCGTTTTACTACATAGTAATAAATAATAATAATAATAATAATAATAATAATAATAATAATAATAGCAAGAGTAGTAATAATACCAGTAACAGCAATAATGATAATAATAGCAATAGTAGTAATAATAGCAATAATAATAGCAATAGTAGTAATAATAGCAATAGTAGTAATAATAGCAATAATAATAGCAATAGTAGTAATAATAGCAATAACAGCAATAATAGCAACAATAATAATAGCAATAGTAGTAATAATAATAGTAATAATAGTAATAATAATAGTAGAAATAATAATAGTAGTAATAATAATTAGCAATAATAGTAATAATAGTAATAATAGCAATAACAGCAATAGCAATAATAATAGCAATAGTAGTAGTAATAGTAATAATACTAATAATAATAACAACAACAATAATAATGGAGTTGGAAGTCCATTATTAGAGGTCATCTAGTCCAACCCCCTGTCCTCGACTTACAACCATTCATTTAATGACCGGTTCATATTTACGGCCGGTTGCTATGTCCCAGGGTCACGTTTGACACCTTTGACAAGAGAGAGTCAACGGGGGAAGCAAGATTCACTTAACAACCGAGTGACTAATTTAAGACACCGCAGTGCTTCACTTAACAACCGTGGCTAGAATGGCCGTAAAACGGGGCAAAACTCACAGCCACTCTGTGGCTTAGCAACAGAAGTTTGGGCTCTGTGGTCATAAGCCGAGGACTATCTATGTTCCTTGAGTGGCTGTTCGAAATTACAGCGACACTGAAAAAAAGTCACCTAGGACTGATTTTTCACACTTACGACCGCATCCCTAACACGGTCACGTGATCTGAATTCAGGCCCTTGGCAACTGGCATGTACTTACGACAGCTGCAATTGTCCTGAGGTCGTGTGATCACCATTTGTCCCCCCCCCCTTCCCAGCTGGCTTCCAAGCACCAAAGTCAGTGACTCGCTTAACGACTATGGCGAGAAAGGTCGTAAAATGGGGCAAAGCTCCCCCTCCGTCTTGCTTAGCAACAGCAATACAATCTTCTTTGCATCTTATGAGTAGACGCGACCCCAGACAGCAATCCTCGTCTTAACAACCGTTCCTTTAGTGACCGGTTCATATTTATGACCGGTTGCCCTGTCCCAGGGGTCACGTGACCATCATTTAACAGCCGGGGTGACTAATTTAAGGCACCGCGGTGCTTCCCTGAACCACCGTGGCAAGGAGGGTCGTAAAATGGGTCTCGTGAAGTCAAAAACCCGCTGCGTTCCCAGGGAATTCCAGACCCGGATAAACGTCACGCCTTCCCCTCTTTTTTTTTGTCCACAGTCTGCAGGTTTATGGGCACCCCCGGCTTCGGCATGCCCGGAGCGGATTGCGTGGGCTACTTTGGGGAGATGGTCAAGCTGCCCCCCTTCTCCGGAGGAAACCCCTCCAAGCGCAAACGCCGAGTGCTTTTCTCCCGCGCTCAAGTGCAGGAGCTGGAGAAGAGGTTTGAGATGCAGAAATACTTGACGGCCCCCGAAAGGGAACACCTGGCCACCGTCACCCGCCTCACCCCCAACCAGGTGAAGATCTGGTTCCAGAACCATCGCTACAAGCTGAAGAAGCTGAGCGGGCAGGCGGCGGAGGCCAAGGCTGGATTGCATCAGGAGGGCCCCCTGCCCTGCGACAGCAGCAGCAGCAGCACCGTGGCCCACCCCAGTGGCTACCCGTTCCACAGGACACCCCTGGACGAGAAGCTCCTCCTGCAGCATCTGTCTCCCAGCCCCAGCTCCAGCGCCCACCCCCAAGCTGGCCTGGAACCCTCCGAAAGCGGTTTTCTCTTTGGCAAACCCTGGTAGTCTATCCAGGTGACTACGCACAAGGGCTGAGCTAGATGACTAGCTCCATCCGGGGAGCGCGAGGGAGCTCAGCCGTTCTAGAAGGAGAGTTTTGTTTTATTTTATTTTATTTATATAGCCGCCCGTCTTTCGACACGGGCTGGGCGGCTCCCGGTGGGAAATCCTATTATCGAATCATATTAAAACGCTAAAGCGAAGCCGATGAGAAGATCGGAAAGAACAACTGCCTGGCTTCAAATCCAACTTCTAAAACAGTGGTTCTCAACCTTTTTAATGCCGCGACCCCCGACCGGTCGTAAGTCGAGGACTACTCAACCGGTCGTAAGTCGAGGACTACTCAGCTGGTGCAGCACCATTTGCAGAATGGGGCTTTTGGCGGGCTCAGCAGGGCAGAGACAGCCTGGACAATTCCTATTGGCTTTTGAAAGCCAATAGAATTAGACTCTATTCAAGAGAGTCTATTCTATTGGCTTTCAAAAGCCAATAGAATAAAAGGGAGTAGCACAGCTAAGGAAAAGGGGGAAAAAATGGCGGACTGCGTTGTTTGGCGACCCCCGTGAAATGGTCGTTCGACCCCAAATGGGGTCCCGACCCACAGGTTGAGAACCACTGTTCTAAAGGGAGATACTCTTTCTCTTCTGGCAGATCAAACTTCATGTGGCAGAGGGTTGCATAGGGCATTGCACGGGGCATCGAAAGCGGTCTGGCCATCCGATGGCAGCTGAGCGTTTCCGAGCCTTTTCAAAAGCCTTGAAAGTCTTCCCGCTTTGGGACAGAGGCAAAATGTCGTGGGTCCAATTCCCTGAGCCCCTGTCTTGTTTAGCGACAGAAATTTCGGGCTCCACTGTGGTTGTAAATCAAGGACTGCCTGTATCTCATGAAACCATCTCAGGCCATTGCTCTAATCCTGCTTCTGCCAAGACCCGGGGGGGAAATAGGGGCAATCAGAGAGGGGTTAAGATAAAGGGGCTCTAAGCTGTTCGCCCCTTTTTTTCAAAAGAGGATTTCTTTGCAAACGGACAGGTAACGTAACATAGAGAAGCAAGGATGCTGGCTTGCGCCCTGAGGCAGGGGAACGGCCAAGGAAGGCGTTTGCCATTATTTGCACCGAAAGAGGGAGGAACTGAAGAGGTTTGAAGAGAGGCCTTGTGCAAAGCCAGAGGCCCTGGGCTCTTCAGCGCTCGCTCCGATCCACACTGCAGCCTGCTTGCAAGGAACTTGCTGTCCCAAGGCGTGTCCACCCCACATAGGACAATCGGGCTGGGGGTGGGGTGGGGACCAGAAAAAGCCCATTTAGCGCAGGGTCAGGTATTTCCAAACTGGGAAAGCAGGAATCAAATTTCTCCGCTCCCACCCGGGCGCGTGATCTTGCAAGCAACTGGCCTCTGTGGTTTGCAAACCCTGGTTTAGGGCTAAGCCCAAGTTTGGGTGTGGGGAATCATGGGAGCTCACGCCTCTTGCTTCAGGGACTCCATCCAGCCACCTCCTTCTCTGCCGTCCCCTTCTTCTCTTGCCCTCCATCTTTCCCAGCATTAGGCCCTTCTCCAGGGAGTCCTTCCTTCTCATTAGGTGGCCAAAGGACTTGAGTTTCAACTTCAGGATTTGGACTTCTAAAGAGCAGTCAGGGTTGATCTCCTCTAGGACCGACCGGTTGGATCGCCTTGCAGTCCAAGGGACTCGCAGGAGTCTTCTCCAGCACCAGAGTTCAAAGGCCTCCATTCTTTGGCGCTCAGCCTTTCTTATGGTCCAACTTTCACAGCCCTACATTGCAGCTGGGAAAACCATGGCCTGGACTAGAGGTGCTTAAAGAGCTGAGCTGGAGGCTAACCCACTCAGCCAAGGGGCATGGCCATTTCCACACTCCAAGGCCTGAGAGGTTCTCAGGCCTTGGAGTGTGGAAATGGCCTAGGTCTCAGCCAGTGGAACAACCTGCCTCCAGAAGTTGTGGGTGCTCCAACACTGGAAATTTTAAAGAAGAAATTGGACAACCATTTGTCTGGAATGGTATATACTAGGGTTTCCTGGCTGAGCAGGGGGTTGGGCTAGAAGACCTCCAAGGTCCCTTCCAACTCTGTTATTCTATTCTATTCTATTCTATTCTATTCAACTTTCAAGTGCCAGTTTGTACAATGGGGAAAAGGCTTGGCCCCCTTTGCAAAGTTGTCGCATAACAAAAGCACAGTCTGCTTTGCTTTAAATTTGCATGTTAAAAAGATTGCTTAGTGTTGAAGCCAGGGATTCCCTATCTGCTCCCCTCCTTATCAGAAAGCCTTTCTTACCCAAAATAATACAGTTGGAAGGGACCTTGCAAAGTCTTCTAGTCCAGCCCACCTCTCAAGTAAGAGATCCTATACTATTCAGGACAACTGGCTATTCAATCTCTTCAAACAAATCTCCAGTGATGGGATCAATTTAAATGTCCCTTTTGTGACCGAGTAATGGGTTTAAGCTCAAAGAAAAACCACTTTTACCCAATTGGGGGTAACTTACCCAGATCTGGGGCAGCACCGCCTTAAAGCATTGCTTTCATAGGTACTGTAGCATGGAGTGAAATCTACAAAAGAAATCTGCAGTCTGATATGTGGAAATAAGATAGCGTGTTTTAAGATTTCTCAATACATTTGTTTGCAGCTATGTCCTCTCCAAAGAAACATTCAGTAAGGTTTCTTTTTTTTTTTCCCTCCTCCATGATTTTTAATATGTTGTGTTAAAAACCACTAGTTGATTAGAATTTTTCCGGCAGCCAAAAAAGCAATGCTTTTTTCTCTGTTACGAATGCCTTGGTACTTTGTTGTTGTCAATAAACTTGTTCAGATCGCCTTTTACATCAGAGGGATTTGAGTATCCGCTTATTTAACGCAGATAACTTTCCTTTCTTTCTTGCAAGAACTCTATCTGTGAATCTACCTGATTGTGGCTTTTCAAATCGTTGTTAATTTTGTTGCAAAAAAAGACTAAAACAGTTTCTGGGTGTCAAAGCTGATTAAACGTGTGCACCCACGTGCCAAGTAAAATATTAATAAAAGATGCAAATGTATTCACATGGGGCTTGAAAGGAAATCTCCTCTAATAAAGTGTTAAAGACAAAAATAAACATGCCCGTTTCCATGACGGAGTTCACACAAAAACGTGTCTAACTTTCTTATTGAATTCACATGTACTCTCTCTCAGCTTGTCAAATGTAGCTTACTATGTAGTACATGAAGACCTGCCTCCCTGAATAATTACATAAATTAACAGATTTAAAACTAATTAAGTGTAGTGTGTTAGAGAAGTAGGGCCTTTAGGTCTTGATTTGGTTAAGCAATCCAGCCAATAAAATACCTGCTTTATAGAGATCAAAACCTATAATGACTTTCAGAGAGAATGGTTAAAACTGTCTTTTAAAAGCATCTTTTTGAAATACAGGTAGTTTTACCACTTGCAATCATTCGTTTTATTGACTGAAAAAAAAAGTGACTTAGGACCAGTTTTCACTGTTGCAGCAGCTGGGTGTTCATGTGATCAAAATCTGGAGGCTTGGCAATGGGCATGTACTTATGACTGTTGCAGTGTTCCGGGGTCATGTTTTGTGACCTTCTGACCAGCAAAGTCAAATGGGGGAAGCAAGATTCCCTGACCAACCCGCATTACTGACTTAACATATGCAGCGATTTGCTTAACAACGGTGGCAAGAAAGGCCGTAACATGGGGTTAAAAATCACTTAGCAACTGTCTTGCTTTGCAGTGGAATTTTTGGGCTCAACTATGGTCATAGGTAAAGGACTACCCTGTACTTGAAGGGCTGCCCCAAAGAAGAGGCAGTTGAGCTATTCTCCAAAGCGCCTGAAGGCAGGACAAGAAGCAACGGGTGGAAACTGATCAAGGAGAGAAGCAACCTAGAACTAAGGAGAAACTTCCTGACAGTGAGAACAATTAACCAGTGGAACAACCTGCCTCCAGAAGCAGTGAATGCTCCAACCCTGGAGGCTTTTAAGAAGAGATTGGACAGCCATTCTATACCATGGAATGGTATAGAAGCAGAATAACAAGAGTTGGAAGGGACCTCTTCTTAAAAATCTCCAGTGTTGGAACACCCACAACTTCTGGAGGCAAGTTGTAGAGTAGAGTAGAGTAGAGTAGAGTAGAATAGAATAGAATAGAATAGAATAGAATAGAATAGAATAGAATAGAATAGAATAGAATAGAAAGCTGGAAGAGACCTTGGAGGTCTTCTAGTCCAGCCCCCTGCTCAAGCAGGAGAACCTATACCATTTCAGATAATTGACTGTCCAGTCTCTTCTTAAAAACCTCCAGTGTTGGAGCACCCACAACTTCTGGAGCCAGGTTGTAGAGTAGAGTAGAGTAGAGTAGAGTAGAGTAGAGTAGAGTAGAGTAGAGTAGAGTAGAGTAGAGTAGAATAGAAAGCTGGAAGAGATCTTGAAGGTCTTCTAGTCCAGCCCTCTGCTCAAGCAGGAGAACTTATACCATTTCAGACATTTGACTGTCCAGTCTCTTCTTAAAAACCTCCAGTGTTGGAGCACCCACAACTTCTGGAGGCAAGTCGTTCCACTGGTGAATTGTTCTCACTGCCAGAAAATTCCTCCTTAGTTCCAGGTTGCTTCTCTCCTTGATGACTTCCCACCTGTTACTTCTTGTCCTGCCTTGGGGGGGGGGGCTTTGGAGAACAGTTTGATGCCCCCCCTTCTTCTTTGGGCCAGCCTCTCAAAAATTGGAAGGCTGCTATCATGTCCCCCCTAGTCTTTCTCTTCGTTAAAGGTTTTCTTGGTCTCCTGCTAATAGGGTCTCCTGCAGGAGCAGGGGAGGGGGCTGGACTAAGAGTTCTCCAAGGTCCCTTCCAACTGTGTACTGCAGTGTTTCTCAATGCTGGCTGTGGAATTCTGGGAGTTGAAGTCCACATGCCTTAAAATTGTCAAGGTTGAGAAACACTGGTGTACTGTGTTATTCCCGTTCTCCGAAGTGTGCAGGATGTCTCGTCCTGGTCTAACCCCAGGAACCTTCCACTCTTCCAAGAATGTGGTGAGCTCACGCAGTTGAGCTCCTCAAGAGCTTCCTTCAATATTGACTGTCCTTTTCACCCAGCCCTCCTCCTCCCCCCCCCAAGTCCCCCCCCCTCCAATGCACCTTTTTTGCTTGCTTGCTTGCTTGCTAGAAAGCACTTGGGCCCAAGCAGGTTCCCGGATGGCGCCAGCATGAACACAATCTTGTTGACTTTCTCCCTTAACTGAAGATTAAAGGCGCCCATTGTTTGAAGGTGGGTTCCTCTGAACAGGAAATGACCCGCTGGCAGGTCCTACAGAGAGATTTGGTTTTTTTGTTTTTTTTCTCCCTCTTGCCCTCCAGGCCTGAAAAACATCCAGG